TTCACATCTTGGAGGAATGACTAAAGTGTCGGTATTTTAACCGTGTACAATTGCTATTTTAGTGCTTTCTGTCCCGATGCCGATAGTTATACTGTCATTTGCGTAGTTAATAATACATCTGTTCGTCTTTAAAAAGTCCTTGCCTAGTATGCCGTCAGAAGGTATATTAAAACTGTCATCTACAACGTGAAGAGTATGCGGAATAAAAAAACCTGATACAACCAAGTTTGTACTTACAGTTCCCAATGTTGTAACCGTTTCAATTGTTACACCAGTGATGTTTATGGTATTTATGGTATGAATTTCTTGCTAAACTGGAAATCTTGATTAAAGAGATGTCTGCTTGTGAATCTACGAGAAAGGAGCATAATTTGTAAGAATCGGTACAATTTAATTCAATAAAATCTGAATAATTAAGGTTCAAGCAGTAAATTGATTTTTCAGGGGTAACTACGTTTAATTGCTTAGCTCCTGCTCCCCCAGTGTTCGCTCCTGAGGGGCATCGGCGTTTAAAAATCGAACATTAGAAGTGTTTCTAGAAATTGAACGAGAAGAGTTGTTTCTGTTGCTTGCCGAACGATTGCTTGTGCTATTTCTGTAATTATTTTGTCTATTGTTAAAATTGTTACTTCTATTGTAATTATTTTGATTATTATTGTGCCTTGTGTTATTGCCATTATTATGCCTATTTGTATTGCCGTTATTAAATCTGAAACTAGTGTTGTGATAGCCATAGTTGTTAAGCCCTCTAAAACCTCCTCGAAAACTATTTGGTCTATTTGCCCGTGACCTAAAAGATAACACCTGCCGCTCTTTGACTTCATTATTGTGTTCTACAATCATTTTTGCGACTACATCTTTCGAATCCGTAAAAGTCGTTGATGCTAAAATAAATTTTACTAGTTCTGAACGACTGTTCAGTCTGCAAACATTTACTGTCTGCTCTACCGCTAACTCATGGGCTTTTGCTTGAGTCATACCCTCAATAATTAAAGATCGCTCTAATGCGTCAGATAATTCCTCTACTCGCTTCGCAAAATCGGCATAGTTGTTATTAGTAATATGTAATGACGCGATTTTGCCAGAGACAACTTTGGAATTATCTGGTTTGATTCTGCTGCGTAGCGCAACCTTTATTTGATCCACTGAAATTATTTGACTGGGTAAAACCTCACGCGCTTTGCCTTCGAGTTTAGACTTTAAAAATGCTATAAATGTTGTAGTTAAACTTTCATCCGATAATTCTTCAATTAAGTTTATTTTGTCAATGAATGAGTCGAGCGATAGGGGGTCACCACTATAGTTTTCTCGGATTATAGACGCACATAGGCTAATAAATGATTTCTTTTGCTCAGGTGTTGCCATCTTTATTTCGTTTGTATATTCAGTAAAATTTATATTCGGTGAACTAATCGTTACGCAAGGCGTTTCTTCAATTTGTAAAAAA